CACTTCGCCAGAGCGACGGAGCTGGTTTGGTAGCGCTCGAGTGTTCTCGCTTCCTTTAGAAATACGTCCTTAAGAAATTTGAAAATGTTTTGTCTGGAAGTTAACAAGTGCGGGGCTGCTGTAACTAACGATACCGCTGTGATCCGGTACATAATCTATTTAGACAGATCGCTCCTGCAGAACTCACATGGAAACAATTTCGTCTTCTAGATAAATATTTTTTTTCTTGTGATACAGTTCTTTGCTTTCCTAAAGAATCACAATCTTTCTACAAAGTAATTTATTCCACGGAGTGGTTTATGTTGTCCACAGGATTTGAAATTGCTTTCTCTCACAAGTTGTATCTGTTGTTACACACCTTAAGTACTTCCCCCATGGATAGTTTATGCTACCATCCCTGCAATCTTGGGCATTTCAGGAAGATTTACTAGCATCCTGACACAAACTCCTGCGCGGAGTGTGGGAACTAGACTTCTATTCTACAGCAAAAATTTAAAACACAGAAAGTAGTAACAACGTTTGTAATCACCTATCCAAATATGAGAACCTAAGGGGTTCACTGTGGACACGTTGTCAGAATTATAAGAGAATGTAGGTCCTGTGAAGAAAACTTCTCTTCCTCCCCTGTAAGCATCGATGTCACTCTTCTCTGAAAGCTCACCCTGCTGTACTCCCCTGCTCCGTCTGGCCGTGCTCTCCGGACTGCAGCTCACCCTCGCAGATCTGCTTTCCCAAACGTAATTCCCGGTACTAAGGTTTCAACCTGATGCGCTTAAAACCTTTCATTTCAGTGCTGCTGAGCTCACTTCTGACAATAGGAGTGACACGGGGTTAAGAGGGGTACTTGTTCAGCCTCTTGAAGTCAGAGACTAGACTTTAAGTAGAGGAAGAAAACAGCCATTTGAAAATGTCTCGCTGTGTGTGTATGTAGTGTGGATGTGTAGGAAGAATTCCCTCTGCAGGGAACAGTTGGAGAACAACTTCAATAACAAAGTGTACTGAATTCCAAAGATAATGTCATACTGTCTTTTTTATTTATAAGAAATATTTTTAGTTAGTATGTATATTGTAGCAATATATATAGACTCTCCAAGATGGACTAGGGTTTGACTATAAATTCACAAAATAAAATTACAATCTTCTGATGAGTTACAAATCCTTCTGGTATAAGCACAGTAGAAAAACCATTGAACATTTTTGCCCATACCTAGAGTGTAAGATTTTGCTCATAGTTTAGTAAACTGTCAGTCAAGTCACAATACCTATTTCCTCATGGAAACCTAGCTAAGTTGGTTTAATAATAATAATAAAAAAAAAAAAAAAAAAAAAAAAAAAGCTGCCCTTGGGCTTTCCTTGAGACTGCAACATTTTATATCTTATTTATTTATTTTTATTTAGCCTTGTTCATTTCAATCTATTTTTCATTTAAAATGAATTATTAACTCTAGGGCTACATCTTCCTTAATACTACTGGGATCTATCTGATGACTTCAATAGAAGTCAAGAGCTGAGCACTTTCCAGCATCAGGTCTGTAACCCAAGGGAATGCATATGCGGGAGAGGAGATAAGGAAGCCCAGCTATTTGCAGGACAATCAGCATGAATAGAAGCTGCAGATTTGCTCCCTGGCCCCAGGGAGCAGTGTGAGCAGTTAGGACACGAATTCATATACATTCCCTGTGCTGGCAGGTGTGAAATCGTAGCATGCTGGCTCAATTAATAGGTATTATTTCCCCAGAATTTCTGCTTTTTGTGTTGTCTACAATTTGCAAGATACAGGCTATTCATATGTCCATACACATCATATGTTGGTCTAACGTGACTCCTTTGTGAAGACTGAGGATTTTTGGAAGGGTATTTTCATACCCTCAGCCATGAGATTAGGAATGGAGGACAAAAACTCCATTTACGATCATCAGGTTTAAAACTCAGTAATAATGATTTGTATTTTTCATTTATAATTAAAGGGCTAAACTTTTCTGGAGTGAGGATTAGTACCACTGATTCATGTACCCTTTCACATGGTAAGAAAAACTAATTATATGGTCTTGTCCTTACAACAAAAACCTTTTTAATGCAACTGGGGTGATTAATGACCATAACTTAGAAATTAGTTTGGAATGGTGGCATTCCAAGCCCTCTATCACTCTGCAAGATGACTGAGGAGAGAAAATCCTTCCTTACTGTGCTCAGCTTCAAACACACAAGCAGATGACAAATGTAGGAGAGCACGACAAATCTCAGAAAATAAATGGGTGTAGCTTTGTTAGCTGCTTGGTGTTCTACTAAGACGGGAATCTGTAGTAGGATGTGATACAGCAAAGAAAAACAAGAATTACTGGAAAGCGAATCAGGGAAAAGAGGTGTACACAGAATTCACTGCTTGTTTCCAGTCATGGTCAGCAAGCAGAATCTTACATTCATAATGAAGCTTTAAATGTGTTTTGTAGGAGTTCATACACAAATTGGGATCAGGGATTTCCCTCATGTTTAATTAGCAATCTGAGGAGAAAGGACAACGACATTTGTAGCAGAATCCAGTGGGCCATAAGGCCAGGCATGGTGGCAGTTATGTTAGATCAGCTGGAGATGAGGAAGCTGAATTATGAGGCTAAATTATGAAGCACTAGAAAGGTAAAGTTAAAACCACATCTCCTGCAGAGCTGCAAAAAGGACAAGGACTCTGGAAAGATAGCACAGCTAATTAGCATTTCACTCAGTGAATTACTTTAATGGCATTGTAAACCCCAGTTTAAATTTCTTCCCGAGTTAGGTTTTTTGGTTTTATTTTCCTCTTCAAGACTTCTCATGTTTTAATTGATTAATAGGCCATTCTAGATGAAGATAACAAGGAAAACCTGCTATCTTGAATTGGCAGAACTTATTCATTAGTCCTAGATAAGTCTTTAACAAGTGTTAACAAGAGTACCCTTTATTACTAACTACTGATTTCCTCCAGTAAGTGACTTTCTATGTGGTCTTCTTTACACAAGTGCAAAAAATATCTTAAAAGCTATCCATGTGACACATTTTACTACATATGTAAGTATTATCAATTTAGTGATCAGTGTTGGCATACATTGGGAGGGCTAATCTTTCTTTCTTTCTTAAACAGTAGACAAATAGTTTGTGTGAGAAAGAGAAGGAAAAATAGGATAAAAAAATAAAAAAATAGGATATCCAAATAGAATTTTCCAAACCAGTGCATTTGCAAGACTGTGTGAAACAAATCGGGAAATCGGTGTGTTGACTGTGCTAGAGGCAAAAGAGAAGGCTGTAGATGCTGGCTGTGAAAACCTCACTTATTTCACAAGTTTCACACTTTAAATGTCTTCCATTTGTTTTGGTGTAAAATTAAGAGGGCAGGAATAAGACTATAGAAAAAGAAAACAAACATAAAATCACTCCAATATGTAAAAACCAAGCATTGATCATTTTGTTTATTCATTCCTACTTTGTGAGAGATTAACTTGTTTTTCTGAGACCTTTCTTTTCTTAAAATACAGCAGACTTCTGTATTTGCCAAGTAATTATTTTCAAAAGAACAGCTACCTAGTTTGGGCTAGGTGCAGCTGAAATAAGGGTCAGGACAATTAGTCCTCTAGTATGAAACAAGAAACAGGTTTTCATATAAATATCACACAACCAACACTATACACAAAGTGGGACTAGTACAGCAGTGACAACTGTGGTTCTGGAAGCTGCAAACTACTAGTTCACCACTAGAATTAAAAATGCACAGGAGTAAAAGCATAATATTGATTGAGGGGCTAATTATGTTGAGTACTGACCATTATCTGCTGATCATATATATGGTGTATAATACATACACACATATATATATGTGTGTATATATACATGTATATGTATGGAGATAACTTACATTGAGCATATCTGAGAGATGAGTTGTAAGAATTCTCCCAAACCATGGTGCTGCAATGTCTCAAGCACCCTGTTATCTTCTGGTGCTATGAGCAGCACTGCTGATTTCTCTGCAGGTGGTCTGAATTTAACAAATGCTTTAAGCATTCTAGGAATTGCAAAATAAAATTACAAATAAAATTTAAAATAAAAAAAAATTAAAAATAGCCATGTTCTTCTAGTGGTGCCCAGTGAAAGGACATGAGGCTGCAGGCACAAATTGCAATACACAAAGTTTTCGTTAAATGTAAGGGAAGAACTTCTTTCAGTCAAACATGGGAAGAAGCTGCCCAGAGAGGCTGTGGAGTCACCATTATTGGAGATATTCAAAGCTTGGCTGAACACAACTCAGAACAATTTGCTCCATTTGACCCCACTTTTGAGCTAGGGTTTGGACAAGAATTTATCTAGAGATCCCTTGCAATCTCAGCTCTCCTCTTCTGTGAGCCTCT